GTCTTTGAAAAAATTCAAAGTGTATTTCATTCACTGACAAACTATTCATTTAATCTACAGTATTACATAAACTAAAGGTCAAAGTGCACATGCAAAGTAGGGCAAGCATGTGTCCTACACTCTGACCTACTGACCTGCATACTGAAATTCCACTACGTCATTGAATTGATAGATCCACTTGTGGCTGAAATTGGATGTCAGATGCTTTTAAACCTGAAATTTTGATTCACACTTGGCTTGACTTCAACACTGCTGCCTTTCAGTCGGATTCCTGACGGTGCACAGCGCAGAGTAAATAGAGCAAAGGGCAGCAGGGTCCATGTCGCACCCCTACACCCATTCAACACATGGCTCATACTGAGGTTAAAGACCAGCCAGTTTCCATCTTCCCACACACACACACACACACACACACAGACACACACACACACTTATGCAGAGTAATGGAATTTCACTGTCCAGTCCAAGTCGCTGCGGGAGGTTGGACAACAGGCATCAGTGGACGAATCACCAGTGGTGACTAGATACTCTAGATGGGGAACTGGGAAGAAGGATGAGCACAGATGTGAGTTGTCACCTGCTGCCAAAGTCTCTGACTCTGAACCAGCAATGAGTGTGATGTGTTATGGAAGAGGCCTGGTTTTCCTGCACTGACCTCTTGTTCGGTTTGGTTTAGAATTTGGCTGAGTGGTTTTATTACGGTTTTACAGACAGAAGCCGTGGATTGATACTTGAAAAAGCCTTATGGGGGCACAGAGATGCAAAGCTCAGTTCAATGAATGATCACTTCTCCTTAACACTCGTGATAATGTTCTGGGTTATATAATGACAGTCCTCTGGTTATATTCTTGGCTGTTGGTCTACATTCAGTGGTGATGAAAAGCTGTCTCAGTGACAGGTCAAAACTGCCATCCTCACCCTCCGTGACCACCCCCACATAGTGCTCCCCACTGTGCCGGGGAGAGGCCTGCCTATACAAAAAGAGGCTCAATTGATTTGCTTCAGCTTTCTTGTGTGGGGCGTCTCTCTTTATCCGCAGGATTAGCTTTCACTGAACCAAAATCTTCATTTCTGCAGAGAGTGAACTTACTTTTTAAAGGAAAGTGTAGGATTCTGCTCAGCTCATGTGCTTTTACAATGAAAGCACTCAAGGCATTTGCTGGCTCTTCTCAGACAAGGTTCAGCAGTTGTTGATCTCTATAGGTGACTTTGAGCAGGCCTATACGTTGACACTGTGGCACATGTAAATGTATATGACAAACACGACCAAGTGATGTATTTGTACACTGTGTTCTGTACATTCTGTTCTTTATTTCTCAAGCACAACACAGCAGCATGAGACAGTTTCACTGTCTCCCCCCAGTGGTCAACACAGGGAGGCAAGCATAATAATAAAGTACCATAAAAGAATGCGTCACATGCATATGATGCACATGTACAGACCAACATGGTCTTTGTCATGTTTTGGTGGAGAGGAAGAAAGGAAGAATTTGTTCATCTCCACATAAATACAGGAATCTTTCATGAGTATCATGAACTCAACACCAGAGTAGTTGCCTTGCCAGCTGTTCGTAAGAGTCATGCATAGAAAGCGTTGTCAGCAATCAATTCTAATGAAAACGATCCTCAGGCAGTATTCATGGAATAGGATGCTTTAATATGTACAGAGACTGTTCTCCGTCCCTGCCGGTTCCTCAGGGTGCCAGTTCCTGTGGAGGGGTGCAAGCAAAAAGGCAAATGTACAAGATCTCAAAAGCTGAAATACAAATCCCTCTCTCATGCACAGAGCACCTGAAGACATAGGCTGCTTTAAAACAAAGGTGTTGTCCCACATTCAAAAAGAACTTTGGACAGGCAGAATGTAAACGATAGTCATCTCTTGGCAAGATTAGGTGAAACTAAACTAAACCAGGCGTCTGGCTGACAGAGACAGCACAGATATGGTACAGACAATTTGTATTGATAAATGTTGCTAGGAAACATCAAATCAGACACATAATTTAGATGACTCTAGCATCTACATCTGCATAAAGTATATTTTCAAACTGCCTCACGACGATCTGTTCAGTAGCTTAACAGTTCCTTAAAAGACAATATGATGGCTACCCTCACACTTATATCATTACTCTTTTGCTGTTTGTCTATAAATTGTTGTGTTTAGTCTTTAAATCGGTGAAATTATTTAGAAAACATCCCTCTCAACTTTATACCAGCATCATGTTTCTAATTATTTCACATTTGAAAAAAACTGGAAGTTACTCCTCCCTCACGATGTGCAAGACCAGATGTTCAACACTGTGAAGGACTCTTGAGCCACCTGGTGGTGATCGAAAGCCAGTCTGACCTGTGACAGTATGTTGCTCTTTAGTATTTGCTTTTATCTGGGAAACGTCTAGTCAGTAATTAATGTTCAAATGTGGTGACAATGAAAAGGATGGATAACTGAGAACCAGTAACGGATACATGGAAGTTCAAAGCAGAGTTCAGATTAGTGAAGTCACTGTGCTCTGTTGTCCATCTCTCTTACATTCACACCATGTCATGTCATCATGTCTTGGCAGGGATTTCAAAATAAATCAAATTAACCGAACATTCAATTAAATGAACACAGTGGGAATTTAAATAAAGAGGCAGTGGCAGCCTCAAGGTTAGAAGACAGTGTGTGACTGGAAGATAGTTGAATGCAAGGTCTTCTGGGAAAATCAAAGAGATGATTCACACATATTAGAAATTAGTTTATCAGTATGAAGTAACAAAATAGAAAAATTATTCATTTTGCTCTTAGGCAGTATTTCAAGTCCATGATTAATGTGGCCAGGAACATAAAACCACTTTATAAGGCATGTTAAAAAACCAGTTTGGTATATTCTAAAGATACGTCAAGAGACTATGAACATGGCATTTGCTGCAAAATGTGTTGTAATATATATACTGATGTTTAAAACCAGTGGTGAAGACAGAATTCAGATCCTAAAGTAAAGTAACAGTACTATAACTTATAAATAATCCATAATAAAAAATGTATGCAAAACATCACTCAAGTAAAAATATATCTTCGAAATGTATTTAAAGTATGAATACAAAAACGAATTACTCAGGAGGATGCCCCCTGTAAGTGTGTGTCTTATCTTAGTGTCTTTATATACTACTGGGTAGTTTAAACTCTAGCAGTGCTTTGTATTTTATAAGCTCAGCACATCATTGTGAGATCATGATATATAAATCCATCTATGTACTTTAAATCCAGACTGAGACCATGTTTAATCAACCTCATCTCACAGCGAGTTCACTAACAAACTCCCATCTTCTCTGAAACTTCACTTTTATTCCTCTCAAATCAGTTTCATTAAACCTTAAAAAAAGATATGAAGGGCATCAAAGACACCGCACCGCCTCCACAACAATCGACTGCCCTGGTGTGGTGTGTTAAGGTTGATAAATACTTGGGTGTGTCCTTTCCAGTCTGAAACCTGAGCTGCTCCGGCCACAACCTAACTGGTCGCTCTTCGAATAGCCAACATCCATCAGTCTGCACAGACGTGTCGTCCATAGAACTGCATTCATAATTCATGTTGATCTTATGGATCTGCCCGACCTCTCAGCTTCATTACTGTTGAAGTCTGTATGGTAATCAAAACCAGGAACAGGAGAGCTGTAGGACAGGTTAGATCAAATTTCTCTGGTGCATAATCAAGATTTTCATCAAGTCTATGCTGGATAGCTTCCCATAAATGTATAGCAAGTGGACAGATGCCTTATTTCTATTATTCTTTTGTCTAATTATCGCTGTAATAAAAGAGAGAATTGAGACATATCAAGTTAACATGTTAATATTCAATTGAGTTGTTTCGTAGATATTAGCATGCATGTTTGAATCGAATTAGCAAACCAATGTGTATTTCTGTAGTCGGCTGTATTGTGGTGGGTGGTTGATGAAACCCAATCAGTCATCAAAGCTTTATACATCTGATTCTATCTACACGACACTCACCGGCTTTCTCAGGTTGCCAAGAGACCAGTCACAAAAAAGAAAAAAAAAAAGCTTGTGGTGCACCTGAAATCTGATTGGTGTTTGACTGATATGCTGAAGGAACCGATGAGCATAGAGGCGAGGATGTGGCCTGGTATCAGTGGAAGATAAGTGGGTTGTTTGTTGAGACGGTATTTAGGTGTGTTTCCATAAATAAACCACAGGCATGAATGTGTGTGTATTGGGAATTTGTAAGAAAATACAGCATTTAAAAGGCCTTCCTGCTTTGTAGTTTTCTGTTTGCTCAGGAAGAGTTGAGACCCAACTTTGATGGGAACCACTAACTCTTCAGGTATGAGAGAACATGAACTTGCTCGAACGCAGATCTCCTGCAGGTTTACAATAATCAAGCTAATCTTTCTTTCTCAACATAAATATGTCAGTGCTGTGCATGTGTGCGTGTGTGTGTATGTATGTATGTATGTGTGTGTGTATGTGTGCGTGCATGCGCATCAGGGTTACAGGAGACAATCTACCAATGCTGGCTGACAATGGACCTCTGGCTCTGGAAAAGAGACCCTCTGAATTATGAATGAGGAAATCCACACCTGTCTCCAGGTAACCAAGGTAAGATTCTGAACAGTGACGCTGAATGTGAGTGCGTATGTGTGTGTGTGTGTGTGTGTGTGTGTACACCTGTGTGGGCACATGCATGAGCAGCACTGCCTCCTAGCTTCACCTGTTCAGGCACTCTGCAGGGACGAAAGCAGCTGTCAACCCAGTTGGCTTGGAGAGACAGACGCAATCTGACCAAGAGAAATGCTATGAACCAGCGCGGGCCTCGGTGCTGAACAGGTTCCCTGCGCTACTGAACTACTGAGAACTTTACACATGGTAAACAGGTCAAAGTTGGCCCAACTGAGACTGAAGCTGAAGCTGGGAGTGGAGACTTGGTGGAGGGTGGACCACAGAGGCATAGAGAGGTCTTCACAGGTCTTGCCCTGAGTGTTGAGCACCTATTTGTGCAAATATGAATCCTATGTGGAAAGTTTATAAGAGCAAAGTGCTGAAGACGCTTAACCCAGAATATGAGGAGGACACTGCTGAAGAGGTACAGAACTAAGACCTTTCTCCATCTTTGTTCCGTGTAGTGATCCATATGCATATGGTGAAGTATGAGAAAGTTGATGTGGTTGTTGGCACTGAAGTCAGAAAGTCACCAGGTTTTGTTTTGCTGATCATTTTTTATTCATCACAGGCTCAGATGAGCTTGCTAAGCTGTATTGTTTTTCTGTGTAAAGGTGACTTTAAGGCAGAAGTTTGGCTCACAGTGCTTCCTCTTGAAAAGTTGACTGAATCACTAACTGATAAAACTGTACATGTTAATGCTGATATATAGATCTACTGTGAACCTTCCTGCTTCCAGCGTCAAAGTGGAGTCCAGTAGCACCAGCAAAGTAACTTGTAACTTACTGTAGTACTGTACGTCGAGGCAATATCACAAGCCATAGTTTTCATCAGTGGATAAAGTACACTACATTTATTCAACTACTATACTTTGGTACAATTCAGAGGTACCTGAATCTTTGTATTTCCATTTTATGCTTCTTTATACCTGTGCTCAGAGTAATTCAAAGTATTGCTCAAGTTTAAAACAGTGGTTCCCAACCCAACAAAGAAGCAGTCTATTTTTGTCATATTTCAGATGTCAGTTTGACTAAATTCCCCTCTAACCTCCTCAGATGGCTTCATTTAAATAATTCTTTGAGATAACCAGCATTTTACCAAAGAAATGGGAAATATTAGAGAAACTAAAGAAAATCAGAACTTTGTTTTTTCTTCTCTCCCTTTCATCATTTCATGACTCCTCAGATTTATCTTGTGACTCTTTGGATGGGGGTCGACCCCATGGATGGGAACCATTGGACTAAACTAATCAAACTGTATAGATAAAGCAGTTAAAAACTCCCATCAGTCATATACCAATTACAACAGTAAAGTTCTGCTGTGGGATTATAAATGGAGCAATTTACTTGTGATAGAGTATGTTTAATTGTTGTATTTTACTTGAATATGTTTTACATGAGTACTTGTCCCACCACTGGTTTTCATGGCCTCATTACAGCACCTGTACTCTACCCAGCGTTTGATGCCAGCGAAACAGACAGTGTTGCGTTGACCCAGATCTCTAGAGTGCTGAGAAACTCGATCCTGCACGGGAGCTGAACATGGGGATTAGTTGGCATTCCACTGACTGACTGACAGGGGGATGAGACAGATAGCCAAGGCCGCGGGGTGTGTTTGAATGAGCCAGCCGACAGCTTCACACTGTGGTCTCACACAATGCCAGGGCCTCTACAGGGACAACAGGGAATACTTTGTGTTTTTGCAGAGATAGTTTCCATTTAGATGGATGTGCAGGGTTGTCATTGCTGCTATTTGAGTCGGCATTACTCCACATGTCCTTGGGAAATATGAGAAAACTAAAGTATATCACTCTGACCTTTCTTTATGTCAAAACATAGACTCATATAGAAATACTATTCTAATATTATCATTAATACTGTTGGTCTATAAGTGTAAATAGAAAATAAAACAACAACAAAGTCTTTCATCATATATAATATAATAATTTTGTTGTATATACTGTAAGTAACAAGGTCTCCTTTCATGTTATCAACAAGTTAACATTTTCTATTGTAATATCCGTTGTATGCACTAGATGGCGACTAATGTGCACAAATCCTGTGCATCTGCAGTCACGTTTGACATTGTGCTGTAAATAAATTCAGGGCATTTCTGTCTGCATCCATTTCATCACCAGTTATATTCTCTGCTGTTGCAGGTCACAGAAGTGGAGAATGAAATGAGTCCAGTGCAGGAGGAGGAGGGGCCCAACGCTGTTTCCCAATTGGCCAAGAAAGTATGTGAACATTGACACATTCTTTTTAGGTGAACCCTAAAAGACAAGTGCAGTTTGTAATGTGGTTAACTGTGAGACTTCAGTGAAATTGTACCTTAGAGCTTCAGTGTTTTGCAAGTAATGAGGAATAAATGGTTTTAAAATCCTTGAAAAAAAAAATATCAGAGGATCAATGTTCAACTGAGTTTTTGAAAACACCTGAATGCATCCCTGCTTTTGACCTTTGACCCTGTGGGTGTGGTTGGTGGTGTGTCCAGATGCAGGGGGCCGGGACCAAAAGCTGGAACAGACTATCATCTCTCTTTAACAAAGATGATGAACACCAGCTTCTAGAGGAGACTGAGAGCCCGCCGGTTGCTGACCAGTGAGTAGAAATCTTCCTCTTTTGTTGACATCTGTTCTCTTTCCTCTTGGTCAAGCATCTCATTCCTGCACCTTGTACCATCTGTGAGGTTTGTGCAGCTGAAATGGTCAGTGGATGGTCAGTGGAACAATGGGGTATTTTTTATAGTTACCTCCATTAAAGTTGTTGTGCTTTCATCCCTCTCTGTTTGTTGGTTTGTTTGTTTGTCAGCAGGATTACACAAAAGTATCATACTTCTTGGAGGGATGGGACATGAGCCGGGGAAGAACCCAATTAATTCTGGGGCAGATCCAGATAATTTACTATGAATTTGACTTTTTTTTCCTCTGATTTCTCTGGTGTATATTGTTTGACATTGGCCTCGGTGGAGGTTTTCACTCTACTGAGCCCATTTTCTAGTGAGTTTTAGTCATACAGCACAACAAGAAAGCCCAAATAATCTTGTAGAATGACTCAGCATTTTGGGAAATACAATTATTCACTCTTTTGCCAGCAATTAAATAGACCTAAGAATTTCACAACATTCTCTCTCCTCTAAATATGAAGCTGCAACTCAGCCAGTTAGCTTAGCTTAGCATAAAGACAAGAAACATCGGCTATATATATCTCAATTTAGAGGTGCTGGTAGACAGATTCTGTTATCTTTTACATAGCCAGGATAGCAGTTTCCCCCTGTTTCCAGTCTTTATGCTAAGCTATGCTAACCGGCTGCTGGGCCCAGCTTCATATTTATCTTGTAGTCATGAGAATGGTATCAACCTAATCCTTGGCAGTCCTAAGTACATATAGTGTGTTCATTGTTCAGGTTTCAAAGCCAAACATTTTATCCCACTACTTTCTCTGAATTCTCAGTCCACTTGCAGTAAAGCCAGAGGAGCCTCCTCGACCCAACAGGCGCACAGGATTCTGGGATAGCTTTGCAACCAACTGGGCTGCCAAGAAGCAGGCTGAAGCTGCAGCCGCAGCTGCTGCTGTGAATGAGGCGGCAACAGGCCAAGGTGAGGAGGGGGTGACAGAGGCTGGAGGGGAGGAGAACCAGGATGGGCAGATCACTGAGGGAGAGGAGAGTGGAGGAGGAGGAGAAGGAGGAGGAGGAGGAAGGAGCAACAACAGCTTCTCTAAATATGTCTCGCTGGGTGGAGGAAATGAGGACGCATCCTTCAAGTGGAACTTTGTCACCAGCAAACTGGCAGATCTGAAGACCAAGAGCATGACCAAGACCAACTAGCTGCTGATGAAGAGGGAATCAGGAGAAGACAAATGATATGTGGCGTGGAGGGGGTTAGATGTTGGATTGTGGATTGTGGAGGAAGATGTAGAGCAGGGTATATTTTACACAATATGTTCTGTAACTGAACTATACAGCTACTGTAGAAGTCCCTTATTTTTGGGTTCTGAACTACTAAACTGCTCCATCTCCCAGAAATTATTTTTAACAACCATATCACAAGGAATGCAAAAAATTACGATAAATCTTTACTTTCCCACAACCCTTTTTTTAAGGGCCAAATACTATCAGGAAATGAATAGAAAATAATCTTGAAATATGTTTTTGTATTCAGTGTTGGACCTGAAATAGGCTACACAGTGATGTTTGGTGTTTTTGGGATTGTATGGTGATATCTATCTTCAACCACAGAAAGGGGCCTTCACACCTGTCAGCAAATTTAATATAATCTGTAGTTTAGCAAAAACTGGATTAAGAGATTAAAGGCAGTGATAGCTGGATTAGTTGAGGATTATCTCACTTTACCTGTTCAGAGGGCAGGGGATTACAGCTCAGAGATTTGGCAGTGCAACATAACTATTACATAATATTCTGTAAGCATTTATTTACAAAACACTTTTGTTTCGCTCAGACAGCAGGAGTGGAAAATGTGCTGCACAATGATATGAGATGTGTAATATAGGAACGTGTGTGGCGAGATAATGACAACTGACTTGAATTTTCTGATAGTGGTTGAGACTGAAATGTGCAAAGTGTGTTTTAAACATTCCTAATTTTGTGACATGAAATATTATTTTAATATATAAATATTATTTTCTCTCTGATCTTGGTTTTGCTTTGTTGTATGTTTGTTTTGTTTTCTGGTATGCTCTAATAAAGACTATTGCACTAAAAGATTTGACAAAGCATGAATGACTGGCTGTAATTTTTCTTTCTTCAGCCAGAAATGTGCCAAGACTGTTTGCGAAGCTTTGACCTGTTTGAGGCAAAGAAGACAAGCTGCAATGGAGCCTAGACAGAATTTCAATATGTCAGCATGAGGAATTATCAAAAGACTTAGCTCAGAGAAAAGAGGCTACCATCTGACTGAAATTAAAAAGTACACAGCAAAAAAACATAGAAAGAATGCCACTTTCCAGGTCTGTTTCTGGCTTTCCTCATCTAATTAGGTGGGACTGCTGCAAAGGCAACCCCAGTATATATTGTCAGTTCCAAAAAAATGTTTTTCTTTATTATCAGGTTTGATTGCTGTGAAATATTTTTTTTGTCATATTCTCTGCCTTATTCGAAAATAAACAAAAGCAATATTCTGTGTTTCTAATTGAACCTGTTGTTCACAAATTTATCCGACGGTGTCTATATGCCAATCAGTAATCCATCCACATTCAACAGGGATTACAAACATACCAGTTTGCTGGCAACTAGTTCTGGCCATGTCTCGCGGTCTCGTGCAGCTGTAAACAAACAGTTGTGGCTGTGACGATAGCGTTGCTACACTTTGTTTGAAAACAGTGCTTGAAGTGGGAAAAAAGTGCCGGTACCCACCAAGTGCACTGTCACAAAACTATATTGTTACGTATACTCGGGCATTTTTAAGTGGTTATACGGAAATTCTCGAGCTTTCTTAGTGGCAATATGACGTATATACCTGCGTATCACGTGGACTACACCGTGGTCAATACGAATCGACGTGAACCTGAAATGGAGAGGGCAGAGGAAGACCAACAGCTAGTGAGAAGTGCCGGTATGCAACTAAAGGTACGCTGAAAAGTAACATAAAGAAGTGCCGGTACTGCTACTGCTACTACTACTACCACCGGTACCTTCAAGCACTGGTTAGAAACATCCAACTAGTCATTTTAATCAGTAAACAGTGGAGCATGTCCTGATTTTATGTAGGAAATATGAAGAGGAGAGAAGAGAAATGTTAACAGGTCTACAGTGGTGTGCTTGAGTGTGGAGATACGAAATGTTTATTTAAGTTTTTGAAAGAAACTGGACTAATTACAAGATTGTAATGGATGGGTAAAACCAGAGGCAGTAATGCAACATAATGGATACCAACTGCCATTAAATTCCAATGAAGAAGAGGAAGAATCGCATCAGTACTGCCTTTCCAATTTAAGACAGAGTTTGATGTTGAACAAGAAGATGACACACCTTCACAAGCCAGATTGGAGCTGGAAAACAAGCATACCCACTGCCAGGCCGTTGTAAGGACAGAAATGGTTAAAATGAGGACAGAAGTGCTGCGAAAAAAGTCGCTGGACAGTCTGCGATGGATGGAACACTTTTTTTCTTTTTCTGTGGACACTTGCGGACTACAAGAATATAAATAATCGAGGAATGGACAGACGATAGGACCTCACAACCTCTTTAAAGGTAGGGTGTCACCACCGCTTCACCTTCCTGCTGGTTTATGATGCTGGTAGATCTCTCTTGTTTCTAGCTTTAGGGCAGTCTTTGATTGGCAAGCCAGAGTTTGAGAGATGTGCCTCACTGTAATCCCTATTTTAACCAGGAGTTACCATCACTATGTCAACCATTAACTGCAGCTGGGAACACACAACTGATCAAGAGCAGCTGATTAGACTTGCACACACACATAAGCAGACAGATAAACAGACACATGTACAGAGATGCACAAAGACACACACTCACACAAACATACAAACAACCTGGTACCGCCATAACTGCCCAGAGCACCAGTCATCCGTTAATCATTGCAGTTTAGCTCCAGCTATTCCTAAAGCAATGTAGTTTAGCTGTGAGGGAATTTACTAAGACAGAAACTTTCAAACTCAGTGTCATTTAGCCTCTTCCTACACACATTCTCACTTTCCTTTAAAAAAAAATTCAAAAAGGTCACAAAAAGTAAGGATTTTCACACCTTAATTCAACTTTTTCACAACCTTCATGTATTTTTTCTTTAATCTCAGTTCAAGTTTCATGCATATTTCAGGCCATTCATGAAGCAATGCAGTGTGGCTTAGGCTACGCGTGAAGCAATGCAGCTCAGTCTTTCTGTGTGTACTTCAACTTGGAACACCTTTTGTCACTGCTCATACAATAGATTGCATTCTTCATCCCTTTTTCTTTTCTTCCCCCATATTTCAATACTACTTCAACTGCTTCTTCATACCATTTCAAGCCAGCAGCGCAGTTTTCAGCATGAACAAAGCCAGTTTTGTTATTTTGAAGCTACTTTATTTTGATCTGGGATGTAGGTCATTGTAAGTCCTGTGTTCAGGCTTCATTTTGGATAACTTGGATTGTTTTGGTATTGTAGGGTGAAATCCTGGGTCTGATGATACACATCATGGTTATATAAGGGTCTTCCTGACCCTTTTGTAGGGCTTGGTTCAGGCCTCCATATCCACTTCGTCTGAGTTGTAAACCTCTATTCTTGCTTTACTTTGTGTGCTGTCTGGTTTGGCCATAATTGTGTTGAGAGGTTATAACATACTTTTTTTTTTTAAATTCTGGGTCTGCAATCCAAAATTTAAAGCAAAATAATCCAGCAGCATGAATTTAATCTCTGTAGGTCCTCTAACCAGCAGGGGGCTCCCTTTACCCCTGAATTGTTTGTGTTACTGCCCACATCTGTATGACATTCGCACCAAACTCATGTTTTATAACTGGGCCAAAGACTTGATCATATTCCCTGTCGATAATACCTCAAATTTCCTCTCTGATCTCTCATTTCCGTCTCGTCTCTTACTTCCTGTTTTCCCTGATCTACACCCACTTCCTCTCTTACTGTTCCACGTTTCCTCTGATACAATACTCCTTCCTTTTCAATTTAGGGGCCTTTGATGATATTTCCATTAAAATTTGACAATACACCCTTATAAAAGGTGAAAATTACGTGAGCAAATGCACCCATAGCTCAAGTTCATGTTTATTTTTAGCTCACCGGTCTCCAAAATTTCCGTGTGTTTTCAAGCATCAGTCAGATTTCCGGCTGTCATCATACTGAGACTTACTGAGTTTCACTTTGAGCCCCAATAGTTTTGTCTAGACTTCCACAGTTGTCAGCATCAGTTTGACTCAGAATAGATCACAGTGTGATGTTCAGCTTCTTGGACATATTTATGTAACTCTCCCATTTTCTGTGTCGGGGACCATAAAAAAAAACAAACCCAGAAAAGAAATTTTACTCCACAAAATCTCATCTGAATCTGAATCTGAGGGGATCACAAGAGTGGTTTGTCTGGTTGAAAGCTGCTGGATGCTGCTGACTATTTGATGCTTGTGTGCAGCTCTGAGATCCATATTGCAGTTTTATGACACAGAGTGAACGATGCTCAGTGGAAATGGGGTTTGTAGAGCATGAAAGCATCAGAAAACTGAACAGTGATGGTTGGCAGTTTGTGCAATGGGAGACTGTGGTGTTACTGCGGAGAGACAAAAGAGGATAGATGAAGAGTCTATCATGTCTTGAGTTCCATTTTAAAATGTTTCTCAGGGAGCTAAAAACAAAACAAACAGCTTATGTCGCAAAATGAAAATTATTATTTTTATTTAGTTCTTAAGTGGAGATATAATAGAATTAAATACAAGTACTCTCAGCAGGTTTTTCACATACTTGTAAGTCATTAGTTCTACCTTTACCTCAGCAGATATTAGGTTTTGTACCCAAAAAATCTAAGCAGCAGTAGCCTATATTTTTGCCACTTGGGGGCAGTGGGCTGAGCTGTGAACAAAATAGTACAAGTTGAACAGTGGCCTATTTACACACACAGCAGACACAGAGAAGCATTAGCATTCAGTGCATTTAGCATACAGAAATTGTGTTTTTCTGCAGCATGAATGTAAACACAACATTCACTGTCTTTTTTTTGCTCTGTTATGGTTTTCACCATCTCCTGAGGGAAATCTCTGGGTCTTTAGCTGCTAAATGCTCCACTACATTCCCCAGCTAAGGGCTAACTTTGTCTGTGTGCCATTTAGCGCTGGTCAGGTTGTGTACAATTGTTTTTTTTTTTCACTGACAACAG